ACTTTATTATCATAAAAACAAAAAGTTTTTGAGAACGTCTGTTTTTTGGATTGGCAAAAGGATCAGCGGAAAGAGTTTTTTTGTCTATAAATAAATAATCATATATTTATGATTATATTATTATAATATTTAATAAAGATATATGAATATAATATTTTTTATTTTATTTTTTATACTATGTATTAATAATATGTATTTTTATATTTTTATAAGATATTTATATAATTAAGAATAACTAGTAAAAACTTAAATTGTACTCCTGTTTTTGAATTAATAAATAATTTTCTTCTTTAAATATTTATCCTTTTGTAATTTCCTTTTTTAATTAAATATAGTTTATTGTTTAAACTATTACAATACATTTAAATTTTTACCTAGTATGTATTATATAATTAGAATATATTATTATTAATTATTTTTAATAATTAAAAAAAATTATTCGAAGGAATGATTAATGAAAAGATGACATGTAGAGAAATGTTGATGAAAAAAATTGTTAATAAAAAATTGTTGACAGAAAAAAAATTAAAGGTCAGAATGTTTATTTCATCAAACATCAGTATAACATTTATATTGATTGGATTCAATTTCGAATTCGCTATTGAATGGTAGTGTCTTTATATATTCTCAAGTATTATTCTAGTAATTATTGAATAAAGAATTATAATAATCTAACAAATAGCATTTGTGTTCTTACCAATTAAATAAAAATTTTTTACTATATTCCTAGTTCTTCGAGCTTAATTACCAAACCAGAAAAAATAAGCGCCGCGGAATAATAGACTCGTTAAATAACCACGAAAAAATATAAAATAATAAAAAGATTAAAAGCACAATTGGTATTTCACTTTATAAAATCCTTCAAAATTTATCACAAAATTTTCTAAAGACTCATTTGTATAAACACCCCCCCAAAAATTAAGCCATGATATCACTTAAAAAACTAATTTCAAAAATACCTAAAAATTAGAATTGTCCAAATCAACTAAGCTTGAGTCTAAAAAGTCTTAAAAGTAAAATTTGTAAATAAGAATTTAGAAAGTAAACATTATACTATCTAAAGTATATTCACCTGCATTGTCATCCGATAACATTCTAAGTACTTTCTCATAATTAGGGGAGTTTGTTGGTTGTGATAAATTTGAAAAGTTCAAAAGTTTGCTAGTATAAACGGCATTTGGGTGTGTTTTATAATTAAGTCCCGAGAATTTACTATCTTGTGATTCTTTCGAAACTTCACTTTCGTAATCTTTAACTTGTTTCTTAAAATCCGAAGGTTCATCACCGTCGATCAATTTTTCGTATTTATGTAAAGTTCCCCAAATTTCTAAAGCACTAGGTCGCTTCGATGGCCTCGCATCCCAACATTGCATTATTAATCTAACTAAAAGTCTTGGAATCCTGAATGGAATTTTTGGACGTAAGCCTTGACAGATTTGTACAGCAAGATCTTGATCATGAGGAATATTATAATATGGAGGAAATCCTGTGATCATTTCATATGCTACGATTCCAAATGAATAAATATCTGCTGCCGGTGTGTAAGCATGACCACACAAGACTTCGGGTGCAATGTACGAAAGAACTCCACAAATTTCTTGGCGAGTCTTGCTTTCTTGAGTTTTATCAAATAATTTACAAAGACCTAGATCTGCGATATTCAGGTTTAACCAACGATTATATAAAAGATTTCCAGGATGAAAGTCTCTATGAACTAAGCTACTCGAGTGCATATTACCCAAACCTCGTGAAATTTGTTGTAACGAATTTAGTTTAAATTGTAAATCCATCTTGTAAAAATTTTCGTCCAAGTAATTCCTGAGACTGCCATTTTCTTGAAACTCTAAAACCATAATGTAGCATAATGAATCTGGTTGTTACGTAATCCCATAGCATCTAACAGTTAAACTATTCCACAGAATAGAATGTTTCTCAATCTAAAATTTCAAATAAATTATATTAATAATAAAACTATAGTTAAACGAGGTTTAATATTCTTTACCTCATTTATAAGATCGTCAACTGAGCTAAGCTTATCTAAGCTTTTTAATGCTACTTTCAATCTAGGAATTCTAAACCATTTCTTCTTGAGAACATCCCATTCTTTAATAGCGCCATCTACCCATGTCGCAGAATACACAGTGCCATATCCTCCTTTAGCGATATATTTGACACCTTGAAATTGTGTATACGGTATCCATTCTAATATCGTCAATTGACCTACAGCTTGAAGCTGAGACTTTTGTATAAATTTGTCAATTTTTTTATCTTCACTTGTCCATTTATCAAAATTTTGTTGAAAGTGGACTCCAAATGAACGGCACTATCTCTTATTTTTTTTGCATCCGGGACAAAGCATGTTTGACCTATTTAAACTAGAAATTTTCTACTATTGTAAAATGTTATATGCATTGCATGACATTACACAAATACAAAATATGATAATTTCAATAAAAATCCGGTTTATAAATTCATTTTTCTGCAGCTCGGTTATATTCGTAATTTTTGAAGTTTTTAATCAATTTTTATAATCAGTATTTAACAAACCCTATAATTAAAAACATTAGTTTAGAAATAGAAAAAAAAAAACTCGATAGGTTATCATTTGTCATTATTGAATATTTCTATGGGATAGTAATTAAAAATCACTTGACAATACGTGTAAAATGTAAAGTTATTTGTGTTTTTAAAATAAAAGATGCTCAGTTTATTAACTTATTAAAAAATATTTTTTTATTTTATTAATTATTTACAAAATATATATATACTGTATATATATTTTTTCAAAAAATCTGTAATGTAATGTATATTTTTATAAAATAGAGAATTATATTACATAGGTAGTAAAAAATTATTTTGTTATGGATTTAATTATTTGAAACGTTTTATATGAGAAATAAAAAAAGGGTGATGTTATATATTAAAGTGTGGATTTTTTCAAAAAAAAATTTTTTTAAAAAAAAAATCTTTTCTTAATAAATAAAAAAATTCCACTTGATGTTAAAATGAAAATAATAGATTTATTACTAAAATTTAATTATTGTTATATATAGTAATATCAAAAAAATAATACCATTGTTGATGGTTTAATATTATTTGTAAATATAAATAAGTCCCGATTTTTGTATGTTTAAGCAAGATGGGTGAGATATCTGCAGATTTACGTACGAGCTTGTCTAATGGATTCTTGGCAGAACAGTATAAAGATCGTGATACTCGGTTCGACGTCAACATTGATGACATTGAATTTGGTGAGTTATGATGTTCGGGAAAAGGTAATCTCGCTCGATCAAGGTGTTTGCACGTTATGATCGGTTATGACCCTGACGGTCAATTAATTTAATCGAGTGAGGTAACGGTGATTTTAATAAAATATCTAAAAAATGCGACAAATACAGAGCGACAAAGATCTTGCTTTGGGAAGAACAAACAAGAAAAGGAGATTTCGATTGAGAAAAAAAATGCTACGAATCATACAACGAATCTATAATTTAATCGAGTTGGTTATGTCAGAATTACGAGATCATTCTTTTACCCAAGTTCGAGTCTTCGAGAATGGTTTTGAAGAACAAGCGAAAGATTCGGTCAAAGACTGTTTGTGCGATGCTAACTTGGTCGCAATCATGTTTCGAACGTACCGAGAGTATACGGTACATCAAAGACGTGAATGATCTCGGTGGATCAAAAACGTCTAATTGTAATTCGTGCGTGGTGATGGATCGGGACGTGAATGGTCTCTTACTCAAATATTTAACGGAGGGTCAGGTTTTGGTCAGACTTTGGAACACGATATGCATAGTAAAGACTAACTTTATTTATTCATATTGGATTCAATTTCGAGTGTTCTCAAGTTGCACGCATTTTAAAAGATACTATGGTATTCAACAACGCATGCATGATAAATCCTAAACAAGGAAGCTATTTTATCGTAAGCGTGCCCAACCAATGGAAGGTAAAGTAGGACATAATGAAAACGATGAGCAGGGTGAAACAAACAATCCAAAGTTTCATGTCATTTGAGATTTCTTAAATAAGATTCAATTGTGTTTGTATACGCATACTGTACAGTGATTAATATTTTTGATTGCGGCCTATGGGGATCCGATTTAATTAATACAGTAAAGTAAATACGTGACAAAAAACTTTCGAAGTAACCTGTTCGCGGCTATCCCGTAGATCACGTCAGAAGTTTGGTTTTAACCCTTTATTTATACGGTGTTGGAAGTTTTAATTAGGCCTTTCTTAATGGTGTGTCAGCACACTCACCACCTTTCCTTATCTGTTAACTTCCTACGAGTAAAAAAATGTATCATCGATCCGAACATTCGAAATCTGCGGGTGATTTAAACAAAACTTGGAGAATTAATGCATTAAACTGATATGTGATTCGAATAAACCTGCGTTTAGAGTTTGGCTTATGATTTCAATTCAATTGATGAGAAGGAATAAAAGAGCGTGAACTTGTTTAACTTACACCGATATTATTACGGTCTTGACACCGATTGAATGTAACATGATTGCAAGACGGCACAAAAGATCTACACAAATTCAATGATTTCCTTTTGATTTTATTTTTTATACCTTGATCTCAGGTTCTTTTTCTCCACATGACATCATTATAGTGGAGACAAATAGAAGAAACGAAAATTTGAAAGTGATAATTGGGTTGCGAACGATAGAGAGATTACTAGAATGAATTGACAATTAAATAATCCACGTAGAACATTATAAATTTAGTAACCTCTTATACCTCATACTCGCATCACTTCGATCAGGCATTTGATGGCTTATCTTTATAATACTTCATATTTATTTATATTACTGTTTATTTATCATGTCTAATAAATCTTACTGTATGATTCTTTCTTTTAACCTTGGTTCAAAAACAATTATCTCAGGTTTTGATTATTTATAAATGTTTTCCATAATTGATGATTTTTCTTGCAAAAACGATATGCCGATTATCCATAAAAGTTCGTGTTTCACTCGTTCATCAGTTATCAACGGAAAAGATAGATAAGGTCGTCCAGTGTAAGCCTTCCAACCCTCAAATCCCCCTCTCCTAGTGCGCCAGCTGCCAATTGTCGCTGTTAAAAAAAAATTAAATTAAATTAAATTAGCTTCATCAGACAAAAGAGTGGAAGAATTCATTAGAAATCAATACCTTTTTTTCTTGTAACACCAATATACGATCTTCAATGCTTTCCTTGATAGTTAGCCGTTTTACAACAACATTTTTTTGTTGACCAATCCGATGGACACGGTCGACTGCTTGATCTGTGTGTATTATGAACAATATAAATTAGTCTCGACTTGTGGATTTTTGCACCGAGTGATAAGGAAAAAAAAAACAACCTTCAATAGCTGTTCAAAGGCACGAAACATGAACAAGATCAATGATGAGTAACATATTTAAGCAAGTGGAATAATATGCAATCTCAGAATTATACTCACAAGGGTTCCACCAACAATCGAGCATGATAACCTTTAAGGATGTACATATATTCTAATGAATTTTTAATCTCCAAGAAAACAGGATTAGCAAATGAAATTGTAAATTACTTACTCGGTTAGCTTTGGTAAGGTTAAGTCCGACACCACCTATCGAGCAAGAATTAAATTTAAAAAAAGAGTCCACTTAAAAATGGAACTCCATTCCTATTTTAGCAATTGTAAACTTACCGGCTTTCAGTGAAACTAGCATGATGAGAATTTCGGGATCATTTGACAACTTTTGAATTGCTTTGGTACGCTCTTTCGCATCCATGGTGCCATCATACTATAGTTGAATCATAACGGAGGAAATAAATACTCGTGATATTGATGCATCATGGTAACCATGTGATTGAAAGTTAGACATACCCTACAGAACTTGTATCCAGCTTTACTAATAGGTTCTTCAATCAAATCCAACATTGAAGTCCACTGGGAAAATACTATGGTTTTACAGCCCGGATCTTCCTCTTGACCTAAAGCCAATTCATGCATAAGTCGATTGATCTTTGTGGAAGGAACGAAAGTGCCTTCGGATGCACTGGCAAATGCGTTTCCATTGGAGATAGGCTCCTCGGAATCTTCTCCATCGTCTGAAGGATTGGTATTCTGTGAAAGTAGTTCTGAAAGCGTTGGAAGTTCAACCTCTTCTTCATCCGGTGAATTTTTTTGTTGTGAAAGTTGTGTAAATGCATTGACACCAATTAAATCACTTTCCCTTCAATCCAGTTGTTCACGGTGAATGTTAGTACGAGCGTTGTAAAAAGTCTGAGCTTCAAACTTTATTTCACAAAATCTTACTTGATTGGACTACGACAAAGTGGACATTTCCGATCTTCCACATCAATAACGTTTGCCTGGTTATCACCTTCAAACACGTTTTTAATACAATCTATATTTGGACGTGCACTTTCAGTGAGCATTTTTATGATCAAGTAAAAACACGCACTATTGACAATGGTGTGACCAAAAAGCTTACCGAGACAGAATATATGACCGCACGCAGTCACCATTCCCTTTTCAATACTGAAGAATCAGTGATGTCAATATAATGTTGAATCTCGTGTGTGTTAAAAAGCACAAAGAGAATCAAACTTACACATCATAGCAAATAGGACAATCCTCGTTAGGGTTATCTCCCATGAATTTTTCAATTAGTCTTTCGTATATCTTATCGGACAATACTTGTTTTGCGCGCTCAAGTTCTTGTTCGGGATCCATCGGTTTTGAAGGTCCCGTTTGCGGATTGTCGGAGATGGATATCACATCTCCAACATCTACCTGCGTCCTATATGTTGAGAAAGGTTAAATAAAAATTCGTGATCCTCAATGGTACCATTGAAACAACGAAACTTCAAACTTACAAAAACGGATGATTACATGCTTGGCGCAATCGGAGCAACAACACGAGAATATAAGCATAATTTTTCAAAACGCTTCCTGTTAACCATTTAATCATACATAAGCATTATAAGAAAATAAACATCAATAGATTTTTAAAAGAAAAAAATTCTTACCCGCTTTCAAATAACGATTAAATATAACTCTTGATCGTTTTTCGAGCTAAAAAATAAACCAAATTAAAAAGTATGATCTAGTATACACCAATATACATATACTGTATCAAGACACCTTTGAGCACATACCGCATCATAGAACTGACGTTCATCCGGAGAGAATTCATTGCATACCATGTCAACACTTTTTTCAGGAAGTTGCAAAAGAGGTTTTCCGTTTATCTTGGAATCTTTCGTTCTACGCAACAAAATTCCCCGAAGGAATGCCTGGATCTTTCTCATAGCCCGTTCACTGGTAGATCCAAATTCTTTACGGAATGCTGACCACTCTGAATAACGAAAGACCCTAAGGAAACGGAAATAGGAGTATAAATCGTCGATTTGATTCTGTATGTAAATTGAATGATGAGTTAGAATCATGATACAACACTCCTTGATATGATGGACAAACACTTTACTTGGATTGGAGTGCCTACATAAAGATACAGACAAATTAATATTAGTTGGCAATATGGATTGCGACTAGAATTGATTATTTAGGGGATACCTGTTAAACACCACCGATGGATCGTATTCAAAGCTGCACAACCCTTGCTAATGCGCGAAAGACGATTTTTGATATTCTGAGCCTCTGTGAAACAACAAACGTAATTATTATAATTAGTATCCAACGCAATCAATAATCAATTAGGCACCAAATAAGATTACCGTCCAACACGACCCTGAACCAAGTCACTCGAAACATGGGACCCTAAACAAGGTTTAGGATTGACCATTGGTTAAAAGTGATTATTTAAATACTAGGAACTCATTAACAGATGACCTTAGAATTCACCTTATCTTCTTCAGGATCGTCGGGAAGATCACGAATGAGCGTCTGGTACGTCGTGATCACAATATCATATTTCTTCAGTTCCCGTAGGTTTGCCTTACCTGGCCCGTGGTACACGTGTATCTTAAACGTTCCTACCAAAATTGCATTTATAGACAAGAAATTAACGCATATGACGAATTAGAATTTAACCAGATGATCTCGGAATTCAATCATACCGGGCTCAGTTTTATCCAGGATCTCGGCCTCCCATTGATGAATGAGAGCTGTAGGTGCTACTATCAGCGTTGATTTAATGTTAGACTTCGATCTGTTCACCACGAGCGTCGCAATCGTCTGAATGGTCTAGTATTAAAAAGAAATGCTTAAGAATGTGACAGCGCCATCGTGTATTTTAACAACCAAGCAAAAAAATTCGAATGCCTACAAACCTTTCCAAGTCCCATGTCGTCGGCCAGTATTCCGCCTCTTGTGCCATTATCCTTTTTCTCACAATCTACCATCCATGAAACCCCGACTATCTGATGATCCATCAATTTGATTCTTAGACCATCAACTGCCCCATTTTGAGAATTAATCTTACGACTCGCTTCCTCAAGAGGAGTTTCATTGACTTCTTCCAACGGTATCATTCTTATTAATTCGTGAATGTCACTAGAGTTATTTGAACTACCACGGTTCCACGATTCACGAGCGTCGGTAAAGTTGGGAAACGGATCACGAGAGTCGGTAAAATTAGGAAACGGATCACGAGAAACCGATAGGGCCGAAACAAAACCGCCATGCAGAGGTAAATTGGAAACTGGTTCTGTTTTAACTACTCCAGTTGGATCAACTTGAGTTACATCGGTCAAATCGATAACCTCACAATCCGAATCTGATTCAGCCAATCCTTCATCTTTTATGGTATCTAGAGATTGAAAAGATCCAAAGTCTGATCCGTGCTCGGACTTCACCTCCTGGGTGGGTTGTGGAAATGTTATTATATTATCCCTGTATTCAGACTTGATATTCTGATCAGGTAATGGTAGTGGTAGAGACGGTGATGATGATGATGGCAATATCAATTCTCTCATATATTCCATGTCTTTAATATTTTGATCAAACTGCGATGCTGGTTTCAAACTCGACTCAGATTCTGATTCCGATTTCACGTCTTGATTAAATTGCGATAGAGATGAAAAGTCGATCTCATGCCCCGATTTCATATTTTGATCAAATTCCGAACCGATAACTGATTGAGATATTGATCCTAAATTTGACTCATGACCAGATTGCACGCACTGAAGGACCGATGACGAATCTATTCCATAGTTAGATGATACACTTTGAAAATTTGCAATTTGTGACAATGATTCTGGATTGGTCACATATTCTGAATGAGAACCCGGAAAAATCTCTGTTGAATTTATATCATATTCCGGTTGTACATCTTGTTCAAAAGCTTGGGGAATCGACGTGGGATCTAATCCGTATTCAGTGTGATAACTTTGAGATGAGAGTTGTGACACGGGTGTCGAATATGCCTCATATTCCGATTGCATACTCTGGGCTGCAAGTTGGAGAAGTGAGGTTGCGTAATCATAATCTTGTTGCATATCCTGAAGAGTCGTGAGTTGGTATGGGGCATATTCCGGCTGAATGCTCTCAAGACCTGCAAGCTGCACCATTGACGTTGAACCATCAGGATTATATAATTGCTGTTGTGGTTGTTGCTGTTTCGATTCAAAGTCTTGGCCAATACTGAAGTTATCAAAGGGGACGCATAACGATGACAATGATGATACGGTGCGGTTAAAAGGAATGATATTTGATTCTGTAGTGTCGACCATGATACCACTTTGTTCTCGCGAAAGAGATGGAGATGGATTTAATACGGTTTCCATATATGAACTACTTCGGTTCAAACTTTCAGGTTCTTGAATTAGGACGGTATCTAAATAAGAATTAGTTCTATTCAAGTCATCAGATTCCCAATTAGAATTAATAATGTGCCCCAGTGGTGCCAGCTTTTGACGTTTATCTTGAATAGCTAGGCTAAATGAGAAAGAACATCAAATGTTTATTAGCAGAGAATAAGAATTTCCGGTCATAGAAACGAAATATCATACTCGTTAACATCTCTTGACTCAGTTTTCAATGATGGAGAACGCGGGCGTTTACGATTCTCATTCAAGTCACCAATTTCATTCTCTTTATCTTTTATTATGTAAATTTGAGTTTGTTCGGATAAATCGTTCATGGTCCCCTCAATATTACTTTCGGAAACGAAACTTTCGCTCTTCTTGTCTGCTATGCGCTTATTGTTTAAGTGAATTTTCGTTCTTAGATGATTCACAAAATTCATTTGACCTTTACGTATGACAAACTGTCGCACGCAAACGTTGCACTGAATACGATATGCGTCGCATTCATTTTCAACACCCCTAATACGGACTACATCAAAATTATCCTGCGGAAATTTTTGGCGTATAGGCTTAATGACGTTTTCTATCCAATCCGGTGGGTTAGACACCTGCAAATAATTATTTGAAGTAATTAGAGAGTGTGTTGCCTTTGCGTACGAGGAATTTTCTGATGGCAACGTGAAAATTCGTGTATATGTACATACTATTTCCAAATTTTCCGACGAATTACTCATTTAGAAAATTTACGAATGCGCTTCCTTTAAATTCCGTCCGAAGAATTGAACATTCAAGGTCAGTACCACAATATTTACTATTTTTAGGTCCACCGAACAAAGGACGTCGAAAAAATAACGGAATACAAGTAATAATATAAAATTTACCAACACTTGCAAGTATTTGTACAGAGAATATTAACTTCGGAACGGTTGTATATGACCAGGAATATTTCAACTAGGAAATTTTTTATTCGTGTGAATATACAAGTATTTATTAGTCTTACGGAAGCAACCACTGAACTTCAAACGAGTTTTGGATTTCAAGTTCGCGAAAGAAATTTGTCGAGCGTCCAGAATACGCGTTTCGAAAGAAGTAAAATCACGCGGAAAAAATATTTTTTATATAAAAACATCTTTTAAATAAAGTAAGGTGATGATACCTTTGTAATAGCTTTTTGTGTAAATTTTCTCCGGGTTAAAAATAATACCACCGAGCTTACTATTTTGCCCGAAAACCTTTGAGGGAAGACAAAGAAAGTCGCGGATCAATACAATAAATTTTTTATATTTAGCAATTTTTTTTTTTATTCACTATTGTATTATATAAGGTCTGATCAAAGCGCGTCAATTATGCAATGCAAGTACGTTACGTTCGTGTCACGTCACTTATTGCCACAACGCGCCACATATTTATGTGACTCTTTAATTTGTTTGCTCACAAAGTCAAAATATTTGTGGATTCAAATGGCAATAAATGATTTTTTTAAAATTTTCACTCATTAACTCATTAATGCAGTGACATATGCCTTTTTAAATTATCACGTGCACGGAACGGACCTAAAATGCGTGCATGTATACACATCTATATGTATTTATTTCGGAGTTATATTTGAAACCTTCCTTTCTTTAATGAAATGCCATTTTTGACATTTGCGTACAACGTATACTGATAGCGATCCTTTGACTCACATCCTCACCAGGAGATACCTCACTTTCATTAAAACCTTGCGTTACAAAAACTAAGGGGAGCAAAATATATATAAAAAGTAAAAATCCCGAGAGGTAATCTAGACCTTCACATTACACAACGTTTCGAAAAATAGTAAAGTAGCAGCAACACTGATAATCGATGTTCCGTTCAAGATTATTTAATGTGTGACTTCGTAATTGTAATAGCTATAATAAAAAAATTACGTACCACCGAGCATTAATAAAGAAATTTGATTTCATTAAAGCCACTCGTTGTATTTAGAAAACTTTTTATTAATCGAACCATTGGAGTTTTTTCTTTTATACGATCTCCAACTATTTCCTTTTTAGCATACAGAAGATGTTATTGTGTGAATAAGCATTAAAGAGGTTAATCCATTTGATCCCATTTAATCCAATTTGATCACGGCAAATGATTATTGATCAAAAAAATGATCTAGGCATCTAATTTAAAGAGATAATTGTTATTTGATACTATCTTGCTTATTTTATTTGTACCCGATACTATTTGTTTTTGATAATTTATTTATGGTATGTGTCTTACACTATTAATAAATAGATCTCAATTTCTAAAAAAACAAATATAAAATCATTTTTTAAATTTAATCTAATTTTTAGATTTTTTTATTATTATTATTATGCCGTATCTCCGATCTTTTGAAAAAATAATTGCAAAAATTATTTTATGCTCTTCATCACGTAATTCAAATAAATAATATAATATAATTAAAAAATAACACTAATAAAAAAAACTTAAATAATATATAGCATATATATATATATATATATATATTTTATGTTTAATCAGCTGGGCCTTGCCTAGTGTACTTTATTATTTTATTCATATATGTATTTCATGTATTACAGGAACTACTATCTATGAACAATTCTATGCATTACTAGACTATATCAATTTTACTTCATATCGGCTTGTTGCTATCAGCATCACCCCAGAGGAATTGTGCTGAGACTAACGTGCCAAAGCCTCATTAGTGTTATTATTGTATCATTATGTTCTATTTGACACTGTAGAATTTTAAGGGGAAGTTTAAATGTGGAGAACTGGGGATAATACATATTTTTAACAAATAAAACCACTGCAGAGAGAATTCTTCTAAATCCGACCACCTGCAAATAAGCGTACCATTTAATTTCCATCTTTCTAGAGCTATCCAAAAACATTTAAGAAACTTATTTCACAGACTTACGGCCCATAGATTATTTCAGCTATCGGTACTTACTGCTGTTTTGGCTGCCTTCTCGGAATAGGTAACTGTCAGAACGATCTATTACTAGATTGGAATAAGACCTTTTTGGAAACTTGCAGAAAAAAATACCAGATACTACAGGGAAATGATTATCAAGCCATCTTTTACCGAAAATAAATACCTTATATACCTTACAACTTCCGGCGATCATCATAGCACCAACCAGACGATCGTTGTGCCATGACATTTTTTCTGGAAATCACAATCTCAACACTCGCTGGATTAGCATATGAAACGACTTTTTATGAGAAACAACGTTTATACAGATTATAGTGTCAGATACCATATTAATTCTATTCAACTACCCTCATATGAGATTAAACTGGTATCTTGTGATTTGACCTATGAAGTATTAACCACTATACTATAGACCCACAGATCATATATAGTATATATAATATAATATAATATTAAAAAATTATAATAAAAAAATTAAAGTAATGTTTTTATTTTTATTTTAAAAAAGACAAATAATTATTATATTTAGGGTTCCGAAAAAGTACCGAACTGGTATCGAACTGGTATCGAAATGGTACCGATCTATAGTAAATTTAATATAT